GCAGGGAATACCTAGGTTTCGGAAAGAGCCACCAATCCTCATCAGTTCCCTTGTTTCTTGTCTGGGATATTCTCCCCAGAAGTTATTTTAAAAAATAACTTCTATGACAAAAAACATTTTTTACCCAAGTGACGAGATCGTAAGCTCAATAGAAGAGGAACAAAAGAATTACATAAAACTAAAATTCTTTTGGAAAATCTTCTAAATCTTACAACCGCACTTATAAACATTTTCATCTTTCTCCACTTGTTATGATTTCGTTCAGCCTGAACGAAGTAACATAACCATGTAAGTTTGTTTTGTCTGTTACAACAAAAACCCCTTCGTTCTCCACTCATAAACAAACGTTGTTTTTATAAAAACAACAATAATGGGATTTTGCCTGACGATTTTGCAACAACAAAATACTATGGTATCCCAAACAAGCAAGCCAAACACTGTTCTATTAATAGACACAGGCACGGTCGACGAAGGGGTTTTTGTTGTAACAGACAAAACAAACTTACATGGTTATGTTACTTCGTTCAGGCTGAACGAAATCATAACAAGTGGAGAAAGATGAAAATGTTTATAAGTGCGGTTGTAAGATTTAGAAGATTTTCCAAAAGAATTTTAGTTTTATGTAATTCTTTTGTTCCTCTTCTATTGAGCTTACGATCTCGTCACTTGGGTAAAAAATGTTTTTTGTCATAGAAGTTATTTTTTAAAATAACTTCTGGGGAGAATATCCCAGACAAGAAACAAGGGAACTGATGAGGATTGGTGGCTCTTTCCGAAACCTAGGTATTCCCTGCCTTACCCCCTGGTAAACATTACCATCGTTCTCCACTCATAAACAAACGTTGTTTTTATAAAAACAACAATAATGGGATTTTGCCTGACGATTTTGCAACAACAAAATTATATATATATATATATATATATATAATATATATATATATATATATATATATATATATATATATATATATATATATATATATATATATGTATATATATGTATATATATTTATATATATATATATATATATATATATATATATATATATATATATATATATTAGTAAGTTTTCATGGGTTTCGAGTTTTTCACGAATTTCTTCTGGTGGTTTTGGATATACTTACAAAAAGGCACAACCCTGGACGTGTTGTATATGTAAGTATTAGGAGATGAGTTCTAGCGTTTTGTAAGGCGTTCTTGGGCGAAATGTTGTGAGCGTAAATTAAGCAGTCGTCGGCATATAAAATCGCTTGAGAGCCTTGGCCGATATGGGGGAAGTCATACAGGAAAATATTGAAAAGGTAAGGGGCTAAAATACTTCCTTGCGGCACCCCACTGTTTACTAAACCCGTGGCTGACGACGTGTTTTTGATATTAATTAAAAACTTTCGTGCAGTGAAAAAACTTGCCATCAACTTGACCAGGTATGGGTCTATACCAATTTCGATTAACTTGTAAAGTACTCCTGTGTGACATACCGAGTCAAATGCTTTTTGTATGTCTAAGGAAATCGCTACAGTAGACACTTGGTTCCTTAGGTTTGATGTTATATCACTGTGGAGCTTCAGAAGCGCGTGTTGTGTGGAATGGCCAGACTTGAACCCAAATTGGTATGCTGAGATTGGACTAACTGGTAATTCGTTTTCCATTTTTTCTTTTAGGACCGACTCAAATAACTTCCCGATGTTGGACAATAGTGATATTGGACGAAAATTGCTCAAAGTGTTGTCATTAATTATTTTCTTCTTTATGGGAATATTTTCGCCAATTTCCAGAGTGATGGGAAATATCCATTGTTAATGCAGTTGTTGAAGAGACATGTAAGCAGATTTATAACATTATCTGGGAACTTTTTAATGAGAAAATTGGAAATCTCATCAGGGCCTCTTGATTTTTTACAATTGATTTTAGTAATTGCGATTTTTATCTTTTCAGGATTGGTAAAGTGAAAAGAGTCTGGATTGTTTAATTAATTGAAGTTATCATCAAATGAGTAGATGAGCGGTGGAACGGCGTTGATGCATGCTGTGACTCTAGAGCTAAGATCATCTACAGGATTTGTGGGCACATTTTCTTGAAAAATTTCAGAATAAAATTGTTTAAAATTATTAGCAATTTCGGAAATTTCCGTAATGGTTTCATTTCCTATTTGAAGTTTTTCGCAAAATGATGATTTATTTTTGCCGGTAAGTTGAGCTACTTTTTTAAATGCTGGTGGCCCGGGTTTGATAGTTTTCAATCTATTACTGAACGCCTGCGCAGATTCAGTATTGATTAGATTTTGAATGATAATTTTAAGAAGTTGGATTTGCTTAGAAAGCATAGTGTATTTAGGGCTTTTCCTATTTCCAGTACGGTGGTAAATCTTCTTTAGTTCCTTCTGCCATCTATGTTTAACTTTGAGAAAATTCTGAACTTTATCGGAGAAAGGCGGTTTATGGATATTTAGGGCAATTTTTTGTGAGTGGTTGTTGTGAATTCGAAGAAGTTCGCAGTTAAAGTCTTCGATAACATCGTCGATTTGTCCATTTGATAGGTTCCTATTAATTGGCGGCATAATTTGCGTTGACTTTAAATTTAGCTCTTGTCGAAAATTGTTCCAATTTGTGTTTTTATATGAGGTGAAAAACTTTGGCTGTCTCAAAATTAGATATGTGCAATAAAATGATAATGCCAGTTTAATGGGAAAGTGATCGGAGAAAGTTGGCAGCGTTTGTATATTGCAGTTTTGAATCCCGGGTTCGACAAAATTAGAGGAAATTAGAAAGTGATCCAAGAATGAGGAACCATTTGGGAACGATGGAGTGGAACCACAAAGACGTGTAACCTCTAGTGAGTTATCAGCCAACCATGCGCGCACCTTTTTGCCATTAGAATTTTCATGTAGATCACCCCATGAGTTACTTTTTGAGTTGAGGTCACCTCCAAGAATAAATCCATCAAAGTTTTTGCAAAGTTGTAGCAATTTGTTTAAATCTGATCTAAGAGAGTTTACTGGCATACTGCAAGGAATGTAGACAGAGCCAATGAGGTATTTAAAGGTGTTGTTATTTCTCAATATTTCTATTTGAATGAACGACGTACCAATACCGACGTCGTTAAAAGGGATTATGGAAAATTTTATGTTTTTTTCGCAATTACTGCAATTCCAACAGAAGAGTTGTCATATATAAAGTTATAGCCATTAATCCGCATTTTCTTGTTGTTCCGCAGATGGCATTCTTGAATAAAAGCAAAATCTATGTTCTCACGATGGAGCATATTTTCTAATTCAAGTTGTCTACTAGAATCAACTAGTGAGCGTACATTGAGTGTGAGAAATAAAAAGGATCTATGGTCCATAGATAGATTTTACTTTTGTGAGAAGCCTTAGGAATTCTTGCTTTGCTTCTGCCTTTGACTTTTTTTGGAAGGTGTTTAGAAATATTTCAATTTCTTGTTCTAGAGAAAGCACTTCGGGCTCTAGAAATAAATTGGCAAGTTCAAGGAATTGTTGTATTAGAGGTGGCTTTTGAGAAGTTTCTGATCCCTTTACAGGTGTTTTAAAATGACTGGCAAACGTCTTACCCGGAGATAATATAGACATGTTCAGTGCTCTACTCACGTTATTTTGAGCGATCGATTTAATTTCCATTGCGTTGGCGACTTTTTCCGTCTGGCTGCGACATAGGCTTTATAAGACGGACAACCTCTCCAATTAGCCGGGTGGCCTAATTTACCGCAATTGACGCAGTAAGGTTCTGATGAGTCTGTAGCAGTTCGCTGGCACTCACCGGGAAGATGTTTTTGGTCACATTTAACACATCTATATGGACAATTGCAGTTGCGGGAGATGTGCCCGTGGCCTTGACATCTGCGGCACTGAGGATCGCGATCTCTTTTCTTCGGTTTTTCCCATTTGATAATTTGTATTTGTATTTAGTTATTTTATGTGTGTAATCTCACTAGCTTTTTTCCCTGGCAATAAGGATACCAAAAATAAGCCAGTGTCAATGTTTTTCTTTATAGACATTGAGGTTTTGAATTTTGAAACATTTGCCACTGTGTCAGGAACTAGACTGTCCAACTCTTCTTTGATTTCCTGTATGTCTGAAAATGCGTGGAGATCCCGGATCAGAATTGAATCTTGTTTCAGCTCTATTGGCGTGAATGTATAGGAGTCTATGTTTTTTTGCCCTCAGTATAGCCATCATAGAAGCATGAACTTTTGGATCCGACAGAAATATTTTGCTCTTTGTCTTGTTTATGTTTTTAATTTTAAAAGAGGATTGAGGAATTGATGCTTTAAGCGACTCAATCAACGTCATCATATTTACATTGAAGACAAAAATTGGCGGGCACCAAGACATTTTTGATTTGTGTCTCCCATCTCTGGTTATGCGGGGTTTTGCGTTGTCATTGTTTTCGGCAGGAGCTGCCGAAATTTCGAAATTAATTAGGATCATCAGGATTATGACTCAATAATCGTTCTCTTAGGTCGGCAATATTTATGTTCACTGGTGACTGCACATTTCAAGACGTTGTCTTTTTCTTTCATTTTGATCGCAGTCTTTAGGTTGTTTGTTTGTTGTTGGTAATGGCGGGAATGAATTTGAAGTTAATGCAATAACTTCGGGTACGTCGTATTCCATATCAGGAAGAGTGTCAGGCATCTCCATTGCAAATTAATGCAAATCTGATGCCTGCAGACGGTTAAAAAATACAAAAATAATTTTTTTTAATTACAGCTTTAATCAGCACGTCTAATTTTTAGGGTAAAAAATCGTCAAAATGCCGATAAATCGGCAAAAATGGCAGCCCTGCTGGGGACATTTTCTCAGTAACTCATCTCTCAAAATGTCTCTCTCATTGCGCTCTCACATAATGAACTTTTGGATAAACGAACAGATTCCAGTAAAAACGTGAGTAAACTTGTAAACGAACACTCCTATTGATTTTTGTTTGACATTAAATTTGGCAAGCAGCTAATCTTGAAGGTCCCCCTTATAATTGAGCTATGTTTCAATGTGAGTGACATTAAGAATGAAGAAGAAGACCGCAGAATTTATGATTTTTTTTTTCAAGAAGTTCAATTGCATAAAAACGTCGTAGATTGCAATATAACAGGATTACGAAAATCAGCTATAGAAAATGGATATGGTAGTTCAGGATCCCAAAAACATACCGTGTAAAATAATCCAGTTCAACAAATGAAATCATAGAATACAACCTAATGTTATTTTTTTAGTGGAATTGGCAGGAGCCGGGCAGCCGGAAAAATGTGTCAAGTGTGAAGCAGATCTCCAAAAGTGGTTGCGTTCCGAGGCGTACTATGATTTGATTGGCTTCATCAATGGAATAAGTACGGCCATCCAGGGAAAAAAAATCTCAGATGATTTATACATTTCACCGCAAATGGAAAAGTTATTGGGGATATTTGAGAAACTTAACAGTATGGTTGATGAGACTCCACCTACTGATCAACCGCAACGTTTTGGAAATAAAGCTTTCCGCACATGGTCACGTAAAATGAATCATGTAAGCACCATGATATAGGTTTGCTTTCATCCAGAGTATTCTAAATTTTTTCGTAGGAAATATTTCTCATACTTCAAAGCTGTATACCGAGCGAAAAGTGCACTCTTGTAACAGAATTGGGGTTTTATCTTTCGGAATCGTTCGGAAATTCAGTCCGCATCGACTATGGCACAGGCCATGAACTCTCATTTATTTTCTTTATGTGTTCCTTGTTCAAAGGTGGTATATTAGAGGAAAAAGACAATGTTTCCTGTGCTCTGCGTCTATTCAACACGTATTTGATATTTGTGCGACGTCTTCAAAAAACCTATAGAATGGAGCCTGCTGGTAGTCAGGGTGTGTGGTCATTAGATGACTATCAATTTGTACCATTTATTTGGGGCAGTGCCCAACTTGCATGTAAGGCAATTGCGTTTATTTTGCTATACTATTTTTGGCATAAGTTGAGTTTAGGGGCTATGCTTGGATTGACCTGAAATTTTTACCGCAGGTAGGTATTTGTAACCTGATTACGGCAATATAATTTTTTTGTGGGGGAAATACCCGGTTACCCGGTTATTCGACCCAAAAGTTCGGATACAACATCCGGTTTATATCCGGTTCTACGTAACCGATATCAATAATATGGGTATCATTTGAAAGCTTATGAAAATACCTATCCAACAAGTGGTCATATATGGGGTAACTGGAACCGGTTTCGGAGAAATTTAGGAAAATGTGCATTTTTGTATGAGTAATTTTTGAAAAACCCATAAAAACTCGAAAATGGACCCATTATAGGGTCTTAAAATCTATACACTATATTATAGCTAACACTATTGCCTTTCCAAAATGGTGTCATATGTGTTGATATCTTTTGTAGTTCCGAAGATATTGACTTTTAAATTCGTTACTTATGAAAGCAGTTTGAGTGAAGCCAAGTTTTGTGTCGGGTTTAACGTTCTTGTTAATCTGCTTTGTTTTTAATTTGGTGTTGTTAGAATATTATGGATCGCGTAGTCGGTGTTGGACATATCCCAGAGGAGAAAATCTTAAGCCGCGGCCGAAGGCCGGCTACTTACAAAAATTACAATTTTTAGAAAAACTATGGATCGCGTAGCCGGTGTTGGACATACCCCAGAGGAGAAAATCTTAAGCCCCGGCCGAAGGCCGGCTACTTTCGAAAACTACAGTTTTTAGGAAACTATTGATCGCGTAGCCGGTGTTGGACATACCCTAGAGGAGAAAATCTTAAGCCCCGGCCGAAGGCCGGCTACTTTCGAAAACTACAATTTTTAGAAAACTATTGATCGCGTAGCCGGTGTTGGACATACCCCAGAGGAGAAAATCTTAAGCCCCGGCCGAAGGCCGGCTACTTACAAAAATTACAATTTTTAGAAAAACTATGGATCGCGTAGCCGGTGTTGGACATACCCCAGAGGAGAAAATCTTAAGCCCCGGCCGAAGGCCGGCTACTTACAAAAATTACAATTTTTAGAAAAACTATGGATCGCGTAGCCGGTGTTGGACATACCCTAGAGGAGAAAATCTTAAGCCACGGCCAAAGGCCGGTTGCTTAAAAAAGCTATAAAGGTCAAAGTCAAATGCATCTAGACTGGAGAAAAATATAATTTAATGAATTCTATCTCTTATATCTTCGGAACCACAAAAGATATCAACACATATGACACCATTTTGGAAAGGCAATAGTGTTAGCTATAATATAGTGTATAGATTTTAAGACCCTATAATGGGTCCATTTTCGAGTTTTTATGGGTTTTTCAAAAAGTACTCATACAAAAATGCAAATTTTTCTAAATTTCTCCGAAACCGGTTCCAGCAACCCCGTCATATGACCACTTGTTGGATAGGTATTTTCATAAGCTTTCAAATGATACCCATTTTATTGATATCGGTTACGTAGAACCGGATACAAACCGGATGTTATATTCGAACTTTTGGGTCGAATAACCGGGTAACCGGGTATTTCCCCCACAAAAAAATTACATTGCCGTAATCAGGTTACAAATACCTACCTGCGGTAAAAATTTCAAAATGATCCGAGCATAGCCCCTAAACTCAACTTGCTCCCTATTTTTTTATTATTTGGTTATGTATTTGTAGGTAAGAGCCCAATAACCCCAGAAAAGTTTTTGGACGATGAAGTTATAAATGCAATGAAAAATGATTACATGTTCATTGCCTGCATAGATTTTATAAAACAGGTAAACAAGATATTATAAACACACAAGGGCCTAATAACTATGACATTGTATCATAACATTGACCGTTATTGTAACGCAGGTGAAAACGGGTCATTTCGCAGAACACTCATATCAGCTGTGGAGCATATCCGCAGTTCCTTCTTGGGCCAAAATAAACTCTGGACTTGTTAAAATGTATCAGAAAGAAGTGAGTATAAAACAAATAAATCGTAATATATGTCTCAATAGGCAATTTTCAACAACCTTATATATTATGCAAAAATATACTGCTACGAAAAAATTGTATATTGACATAAAGTTTAAAATAGGAACCGTATCTAGATCGGTCACATGGATAAGGTACCAACGAATTATAATATATATACATATAAATATATTTTCAGATTTTGTCGAAATTCCCTATAATGCAGCACGTTCTATTTGGAAACTTAATGACGTTTAACCCTGTCAAACCTGGAACTACAATATCAAGTGCACGATTGGGATTTATACAACCTGCACCCCCACCCAACAAGATGGTCGCAACGAATAGCCTTGTTTCAGAAAATGCAGTAGTCGAAGACAAAAAGGTTGAATGAATTTCATTACTATGTTATGTATAAAATTGGACAAGGCCCAAGTTAAAATTCTTCAACACAATGATTCGATGGTTACTTTAAAACTTGTAATACGAATTACAGATTTGAAAACTTTGGTACTAATATTAGCTGTATGTATTCACAATATCTTAATATATACATCAATACAATTTTATTTCTTATCCTTTTACGCTATTATATAACTAACAGTCATGTTGCAGAATCGAATCGGAATGGTTTGCATTCCGTAATTCAAAATCGTTTTTTTTTTGTTTCACTTCTTCGGATTCTGTACGAATTGGTGAACTACGAAAATCTCATTATTCAGTGTGAATATTGCAATATTAGAGGAATGAAAGATCGAATGTATTATCAAATCTAAACAAACCGCATTATTAAAAAAACACTGTATAAATAGTATTTGTGCAAATATTCTGTTTAAGATATTTTTTGGGAAAAGAAAGCTTTTTTAATTTTTACGCAATGCAGGGAGTTTTTTCAGTAATTGAGGCGCAAAATAATGAAGTAATGGATTTTAGAGATGTTTCGGGCTCCTTACCCTACCCCAGTGCATTTTAATAACGAGTTAGTTTTAACTTATGTATACATTCCTGTGCTTGCCCCTTAATAAATAAAACGTTAATTAACATTTCAAAACTCATTTACAAAATATCTCCTTTTTATCTTTGCTTCAACTTATCATTCGTAAGGCCAGAGTGTTTAGTTTTCACAAATGAATTATTTGAATTGGAATAAAAAGTTGGTTTCAAGAAAAAATGGTGCGGCAACATCAGCAATTAAAATTTGTTATTTTTAATAAACATATTAAAAAGGTAAATTTAATTATGTATTTATTATTAAAACATTTTTATCACTTGAAAGTGTTTTAAAGTTACAAATCCCTACGAAAATACAAAATCCAAAGTGTTTTCAAATTGAAAGAATGCTTTGTTTTCTGAAGAAGCTAAATAGGGAATTAAAATCACTTTCTTTTGGAATTCGTTCCTGTGACATGCCTGGCAAATCTGTAAAAAACAGGAACCACTCGAAAGATGCTATTTTTATCTTTACAACGATATCAGAACTGCTTAAAACTATTTTTAAATCTCATACGAGGGAATATAGAAAGACTTGAAAGTCAAACTGTGCTAAAATGTTCATACCGCTCATTTACTCAGAGTGGCATATTTGAAAAAAAAAAAAAAAAACGTTTTCATGTTGCAATTTCTGTGAAATTTACCTTATCTTTCTAAAAAAATTCATGTTGATATCTGTAAAACCCAAGGGGTTGCAGCTTTTTCTACTTGTATGCTGGCATAAATCTATAAAACAGGATGTTGAGATAATGAAGCACCATAATTCTGCCAACCATGTTTCATATTGCAAATCACCTATATAGTCCATGTAGTTATGTTGCTTTTATTGTGATAATCTCAGTCTTGAAATGGGGTTTTCTCGAAACCCTATATGACACTCTTTGAACAAATGAGCGATATGTGTATAAATAAGGATAAATGTTATCAAATATTCGGCTGATTTTAAACTCAAATTAAACAAGGCAACTCTTATCTATTTAATACTAATAATAATTCAAGGGATATTTCACTGTAAAATCTATATCTATAAAAGAGGAAAATGTATGTTTGTTTGTTTGTAATTTATGGACTCGAAAACCGCTGAACAGATTTTCTTGAAAATTTCCAAGTATACTACAACATCGCCTGAAAGTAACATGGGCTATACATTTCTTTGAAATTCAACTTGGATCTGGAGATATAGCATCAGAATCGGAGGTAATTATATTGAAATCGGTACAGATTTGGATATAGCTCCCATATATATTTTCAGCCGATTTCATGTATTTGATGCACCAAACACGATATGTATGTTCGATTCCAATGAAATTTGGAATATGTAATGGGATTTTGATCAGAAAATAAATTTGTCAAATTATATTGAAATCGGTTCAGATTTGGATATAGCTCTCATATATATTTTCGGACAATACGTATGTCCGAGTTCAATAAAATTCGGCATGAGTGCCTAAATTTGGTACACAAATAAATTTGCCAAATTATATTAAAATCGGTTCAGATTTGTATGTAACTCCCATATATATTTTCGGTCGATTTCACATATTTAATGCACCCAACTCGATATGTATGTCCAATTCCAAAGAAATTCAGAGAGACGAAATCTGGTGCCCAAAAAATGCCTACTTCTAAAGATGGAAGTTTCCTGCACGCTTGACATTTGCTATGAAATTAATAAATCCGAAGGATAAACCCTTCGTATATGCGGACAAAATTTGGCATGTTCCTGCTTTTCTCATGGTCAGCTGTTCCTGTCATGTTCACACGTTGGTAGACCGAGCTATTTGTTTATTTACGCATTAAAGTATTACAATACTTTTTTTTTGAATGCATACAAACTGAAAGGAGTTTCGAAGCGCATCGGGCTCAGCTTGTATTCCCATACTATTTAAAGGATTATTAAAAAACATTTTGAAAACATTATATGGAATATATTTAGAGATATTCAAGATAGTATTATATTTTAATTTTTCGAAAATACTGAAAAGGTTCACTTAAGGTTGTAAATAGCTTGGAAGCTTCATACGCATAAAGAGCCAAGTAGTAAAGAATGACACCAAGATAAATATGAATCCCATTGATGACAACAACAATCTATTTAGCTTTGTTTTTCCAAGGGCGTTGGAGCTCACATCCATAATTATAAATCCAATACCGCCAATTGTGAATAGAAAACTACTCGCTAATCCTTCCATAATATATTGACCATTTACACGATATGGCATAAAAGCCACGGGGCGCGAATGACCGTTTTCGTCAACTGTAGCACCAACGCTAGGCGGCTCCACAATAACATCATATATAATACCTAAAATAATATAAGTTATTTCCATGGTTTTCCTCATATCTCAATTATTTACCTCCGGTTACAAGAAAATATGAAACAAGTATCCAGCTAAAAATAAAAAAGGGTGATGGCTTTGGTAATTGGAATCTCAATTTTAAGTTTGGCGGAACGAGCAGATGGAAGGGCAATTCGTAGAATGACTGCAACATCACAAAATCCAAATGTTTATAATACGCTTTTAAGTTTAAAGTTTTCCTCAAGTGACAAGTGTTCGTTCGTAAAATTTTATGAAATTGGCGAGTCTTACAATGTATATATGTGTATAATTTTGATTGTTGTTTTTTATTCTTTTTCACACAACTCTAAAATTCAGTTTTTTAAGGTTCAGAAACGCGTATATCCGCCCCACAACAGATACGTACGAGATAACAATAAGCGGCGTAAAAATTTCTTCTAATTTTCAAAATATTTTTAATAATTATTATAATAATATAATATTATTGAATATTCAATATTATTACTGCCGGTATATTATTATTGGCATTATATATTATCAACACTACGTCACTAAAAAGAATACAAGAATACGGAGCCATGAGGATATGAACGCAGTCTATGGTCAGGGATGTAGAGATCGGATAATCCATCTTTAATAGTTATGTTCCAGAACTTGAAAAATTATTACAAACAGTTTGTTGAAGTTTACAAAGGACCGTAGGGTGAACAACAAAATAAATTTCTTTGCTTTCTTACGAAAAAGCCAGCCGAAAACATAATGGTGAGGATACATAAAACGTTTTTTTTTATTGGCTTAAGTCATCGGCCGGATTCTTCTAAAAAAGAAAACAAAGGAGCGCAGAACCAACATCGAAGCAACAGCCTGTTTTGTAAAAAAAGTTGCTTTCACTCGAATCGTTCTTGTTCAAACGTATTCGTTTTAATTTGTGTTTTTATAAATATTTTGGAAGCTCTCGTCCATTCTCGAAAAGCTTTACGCCAGGGCCTCATTAGCGATATCAGGGGCCACCAAGGGTGGGATGAGGTTGACTTGAAAAGGAAGAAGCATTGTTTTGCGCATTCACTTTCCCATATACGCCACCCCTATATCACCACGCTGATTCTTTTTTAATAATTGCGTATTATTGCACTTATCTAATTTCTGTTGTATTTAGACCTTGGATTTTCACTAATTTTTTTATTTTTGTTTTCTAGTCGTATGTCTTTTTTAATGATGTTTTTTTCTTTTTTGCGATATTGTTTGCATAGTAGATAATTTTTTTCTATTTTCGTTTTTTGAATTTTATTTTTTTTTAATTTTTTTGAATTTGAGACTATTTATATTTCAGTCTTTTACTTTTTTTAATTTTTTCAGTTAATTTGTTCTCATTTTGTAAAAAATGTCTTGAAGCGCTATTTGTAGCTTTTAATTTAATTTAATAAATAAATAAAATCCGAGGCATAAAAAACAGGGGGGTACATTGATATGGACTGCAAAGATTTTGTTATATATCCAAATATTTTTCTCATTTAATTTTGATATGCAGCGTAAGAATTGAATTGTATTTTTCAAAATTGTTTTTTTTTTTAATCAAACTTAGACTCGTCCGCATATAACTCAACTAAAGGCGTAATATGTACTACAATAGCTTTTGCTGCTTCAAATTCTAATTTATTGTGTATTTCTATAGACTCATTCATAGAAGCAACAACTTCATCATTAAATATAGCTAATATGTCTTCAAATTTAAATTTTTTATATGAATAAGCAGATTTTCTTTTAGGGTTTGCAGCAACGCTCGTATGTGGTTGTACATGTATGAACCGAGCGTGTATATACCACACCTTGAGACTTGAGGCAACAAAATATTTTGAAAAATTATTGCGTGGCGTGATATACAACCAGTAGCAATTTCTATGAACTTTGAAAATACACTTGATGCTTTACGCAATTTTCTGTGGTAAGAAATGGCATCGCATATGCTCATAAATGTAGTTGCCCCAATTTCATTCACTTCTTTAAAAATCCGAACTACGATATTGTTCATAATATTCTAAAGATTTTGGCGTCGGTGTTTGTGCAACGCCGATCAGTAGGGGTGGATCCTTACTTAAAAGACGTTGTAAAAGAAATACATATGCTGTGGCTTTACCATTATTATGTATAATATTTACCTCATCGAACAACAATGTACAAATCGGGTATTTTTTTAAAATGTCTTTAAGAATATTTTTTGTTTGTATGTCAAAACCCATGTGACATTTAGGGAAAATGTTTTCTATAACATTTGATGGCGG